GTTCCCAGTTGTTAAAAAGCCCACAGACAACATTGTGGCAACATATTTCATGTGACATTTTTGTCTGGTGTGGTGGTATGAAAGTATTTGGAATAAATTGGGGTAGATAATGTATATCATTAAAATTTATTTTACCTATCCTTAAGGTGGCTCCTAGGAAAATTTAAGTTGCATATGGGACTGGAATTTATGTAAATATTCCTTATTGCCTTTGGATGTTGCAGTTCTGTACCAGGACTGCCAAGATGCAGCAGGTGGGTCCTTCACTTAGCCCTGTGGGACTAGATGATAAAGAGGTGAGGGACCAGAGGGATGGATGGACCCGGTAGAAAAATGGAACGGGATAGGGGTATATTGGAATAAGGCTTCTGTGGGAGTAGGAGGTTTTTTGTATGATTTTCCCAGCATGAAATAGCAGCCAAAAAAAAAAAAAAAAAAAAAAAGAGCAAGAACGGCAAAGGGTGAAGGCAGCTTTTCATCCTGCTGTGCCTGCATGGAATCTGTCAATGAAAAGACATTTAGGGAAGGCCAGCTCGGTGCTTGATTCTGTCCCATTGCAATATTTCAGGATGCTAAAGAGAGCCAAGCTGGCTAGATCCTGGTGGCATTTGTCATTGTGAATTTGTTGTTGTTAGAGTTCCTGATAGAAAAAAAAAAGGTTGCCTATTTTTTTCATATTTAGAGGAAATATATTTATCTTTGAAACCTGCTGAATACAAAGCCCTTCGTTTTATATTAGCATCTGTCTGAATTCTCCTGGGGTGCACAGCAGTTAACATCTCTACAGATCACTTGTCCTTTGCTTTCTGATTGCTGTGGAGAAGCTATTGTGGTGATGTAATTCCGCCTGCTATCTTGGCCTTGCTGTCTATACTTTTGGAATTCGATCCCAGAAAAGTCTTTGATCAGACCAAAACACGGGTATTTTCTTCTAGCCGTTTCCTATTTGACATTATAATCCATTTTGAGTTGGTTTCTTGATGATTCAATCCAGCAGCAAGTGGTTTTGTGAGGAAATATGATTTTCCACACTAACAGGACATCTTCATTTGTCTGCCTTTGTGTGTTTTGGGGGAATGTTGACATTTTCAGCATGGCACACTGATTATTTACTTGGTTGTTCTGTGTAGCTGCAGACATCCTTATAGCATAGTTTTAGACTGTTGACAACCTTCTCACTGGCTGCTCACACTGCTTCTTTTGGAGAGTTTCTAGAAACGTCTTTTTGACTTGGCATTTCAAATTTTTAATTATTTGGGACTCTAGAAGAATGGAGAAGCTGGAAGACAAATACTCAATGCCGTTTTCTCATGATAAAAGAAAGTGGTCAAAATAATTCCTCAAGTCCACATTGAAAGGTCTGTCATTGTGAGGTATGAGGAAGCTGTGTAGGGACGCTGTCAGCCATCCTGTGCCTTGAGACTTGGGGAGATGAGTAGTGCTAGCTAGGGGTGGGGGACAACTTCCTTTGGTATTTTCTAAACTTCTAACAGGATCGAGCTTTCTATTTTACACCTAAGTCTAGATGTGTCATTCCAGAGGGAGTCTTAATGGGATTCTGACGGTTGAACCTGCACCATTCTGTTTATTTAACCTTAAAACAGATTCATAGAGCTGGAGGACAGTTTAGTAGCTGACAGGGTGAGGTGTCCAGAAGGTCCTGTGTATGTGTGCTTTGCCTGTTCTGCAGCTTGTGTTTGGTGAGGAAGCATTTAGTGGTGTCATGCCTTCTTACGGTTACACAGTATCCTTTTCAAGTGCCTTGGTCAAGTCTGTTAGCATCTGCTTCTCTTTACTTCCATTCTGCTGTGTCTTTATGTCTGTGTGGTTCTTGCGGGCAGTATGTATTTCCCTCTTGCTTTTTAATTCGGTTTGAGTTGCTGCTTATCATTGGGATGTTCAGACCCTTGACATGTGGATGTGATCATCAGAGTAGCCGGGTTGAATCTGCTGTCCGGCTGTTTCCTGTTTACCACATGTGTTCTTTGAGTCTGTTTTGCCCTCTTCTTTTGTGTTAAGTGAGTATCGTTCATAATCCAGTTCCATCTACTTTATTGGCTTATGACAGTTTTTTTGGTTTCATAATTTTAGTGACTGCCGTAGTACATGTATTTAATTGTACATGTATTTAATTGTGATGTATTTAATTGGCCGAGTCTACCTCTAAGTGCTGTTCATCACTTCACATATGGCACAGAAACTCACTAGATAGTATCCTTAAGTTTCTTCTCTTCTGGACTTAAACTGCTGTCATACATTTTCTGTGTACATATGATGTGAACACTACTCTGAATTATTTTAACAAGCAGCTAATAATCCTTAAAGAGATTACAGTAATACAAGCTACTCCCCCTCTTAGCTGCACGTTCTCCTGTTCAGATTCCTGCATCTGGCTGTGTGATCCTTCTGGCCGCAGGCTCTCCCAGGCTTCCTTGTGGTGCGTGTGTTACTAATTATTTCTTTCAGCTCTTGTATGCCTGGGCTTTTCCACCCTCCTCCTTTCCCAGAGGTGGTAGTTTCCCTATGGTTGTGCTGTCTTGCTGTATGGATGTTTCTGGATTGTCTTCTGCTTGCGTTGTTTTCACATCTTAGCTGTCTTCCTTTGCCTTGCTTCTCTGTACAATGCCGTGGTTGCTTTTTAAGATTTGTCTGTTTATTATTGGTCTTGAACTATTGATTTTTTTTTCTTCTTTGTGTACTTTGGGATCACTGAGCTTCCTGAAGGTGTGAGTTTGTGGCTTTTCTCAGATTGGAAGCATTTCATATGTGCTTTTTCAGATGAGTTTATCTTCTCATTCCTCCTCTTTTGAAAGCTTCCACCATCTCTCTCTGTCTCTCTGTCTCTCTCTCTCTCTCTGTCTCTCTCTCACTCTCTCTGAGGTTTGAAGCTATCCCATAGATCAGATTTCTTTTTAAAAATTTTCTGCTTTTAGAGTGTTTTATTACCAAATGAATATTCAGGTTCATTTATCTTTTGCCATTAGTTCTCTGAAGTTTTTTTTCCCTAGTATTCCAGTTTAGATCATTAAAAAACCTTCTGTTCTTTAATATTTTGTGCACGAGTTTGACTTCTGTGCCTTTTCCTTTAGTTTTAGTGTGCCATCTACAGTACCGATCTCTCTTGCAACGACTGACCTTTTCCCCATCTCTCCTCAATTTACCTTTTGGGGGTGATGAATATCTTTGTATTCTTAAGTATTTTAGGACTTGAAAAATATGTTACTTGGCAAGAAGAGTCTGATCCTTTCGCTGTTGCTTTTTAATTAGTGCAACAAGATCTTGGCAGTGTCAGTCAGGAGCAATTGCTGCTTCTTCCCGAGGCAGTACCTGTTGAGTGTTCTCCCTAGTGCCCCGGGCTCATGAAAAATGGGGAAGTGAGTGTGAGTTGTGCTCTCTGAGTCTCTTGGGGTCTGTCATTACATGTAAAGGGAAGAGCAGTTTCCCAGTGAGTGCGGAGAGGCCTCGCTGCACACACCTGGGATTGATTCTTACCAGCCTTCTTCACCGTGGTCTCCTCCACTCCATCACTCCAGCCCCAGGTCAGCCAGGCTTTGCCTTGCTTCTCTGCACCAGGCCCTGGAAACCCTCTCAAGGGCCATGGGCCCACTTTTCTGCATGGCTGGTGGTCAGTATCTTTACAACAGCGGCCTTGTGCTTTGCATGGTGATTTGTTGCTATTGAATTCACATGACTGTATCTTAATTGAAAGTAGAAATCTTAAGATGAGATTTTCTTGCTTATGGATTCTGTTCTGTTTATGGAAAGCCAATTTCTCAACCTGCTGGCAGTATCTGTACATATGGGACTGAGGCCGTGTGGGCAGAGCAAGTAGAATAAGCTCAGTTCCTCACCAGGGCTTCTCTGGGAGCTTTTGTATAGATGGACTGTGCCCCTTGACTGCCTAGAGCCCCTTGTTCCTTTGGTGTCTGTGTGAGTTTGGCTGTGCTGCTCAGTCTATTGAAGGTGTCATCTTGGTCTGCATGTTTTAATCCATGTAATTAAAACTTTGACAGTCAGATACTGTAGAGAAACATTACAGACACTTGCTTTCTGCAGATTAAAGGAAATCCATTATGATTAAGTCTTGAAGTGCTGACACTAAGACAGACAGATTAGTGGATCAAAGTAGAATGTTTACAGACAGACCACAATGAATTTAAATGTTTAGTATAAAGATTTTCGTGGCGGGCTCATTCCCTGGGGTTTGATACAGATGGCCAACCCATTAGAAAATTTAAAGTTGGATTTATTTCCCATATCTAATACTCAATTCCAAATTGGCTAAATATTAAATATCCACAGAAAATATAGGAAATACACATACTTTTGAGGAAGGTTGTCTAAAGTATGACACAAAAAATACAAGCATAATGAAAAATAAGATTACACAGGTTTATATCTTTTTATGGCAAAAAGATAATTAGAAGCAAATAGAGCTAAAATACAGTTACTGTTTTTATTGTATAAAGGCTACTCATAAAATAATTTAAAAAAGGAAAAACCCCACTGAGAAGATGGGCAAGGGATATGATTAATTAATGATGTCAGAAATGAAAAATAGGGTCTAGTAAATGTTTATTTAAAATGTCCTTCATAATAATGACTATGATTTATTTTATGTATCTGTTTGATTATGCTAAGTGCCTTGGGCTACTTAGTTTGAAACGTTTTTAAAATGTATGTACTGTCATCACCGTCTTCTAAAAGATTGAGATTGGAGAGAAGACTCTTGGCCAAGGTGAGGAAGCTTGCATCTGACTCTAGAGCATGCCCTCATCGCTTCCCCTAGAGCTAAACTCCACCTGCCTCAAATCCTCCGTAGCTCCCCTGGAAAAGAGCCGTTTACCGAGGATCAACAGCTCATAATGATAAATCAAACATTTGAGAAGACAGAAATCGCTTAAGTAGAGAAAAGGAGGACGGGGGAAGCGAAGGCACAGTCTTGTCCTTCCTCAAAGTGAAACTGAATTTAGTTTCTCAGGTTCTCTGTTTCTTTTCAGAGCATTTAAAAGATGTCTCAAAGAAGACGAAGAGTGGTCTCCTGTTTGTAAAACTGGCCAGCCCGCGCTCAGGTGGGTGTTGCTTCCTCGGGTCCTCTCACGCTTGACTGTGTCCAGCACTGTGCTCAGTGTTTGGAGGGCTTGCTTGCCTGTGTGTCATTTTGAATTAACTTAAAAGTTCACAGCACCCTGTGGTGGAAAATCAATCTGATTAATTTTCCAAGATAAATCACAATGGACACCGCAAAGAAGGTTTTTTTTTTTTTTTTTTTTTTTTTATAGTTCTCCTCCACAGAATGTTGAATCTTTAGAAATGTTGGCTACATAGAAAAGTAGCGTGTTTGAATTCTCTCTGGAAATGGATTGATTTCCTTGGTTTTCTTATGCCAACTTTTCTTAGTGTGCTTACCCAACACTAGCCTGCATTTATATTCATTTTGTGTTGTACAGTAAAATAAACAACCTGAGTGCAAACACAGACGACCATCTTGCGCATGCCATGATTTTGGTTGATTTTGTTTTTTAGCTGTTCTTTCACTCTAACCCCTGTTACATGATGGCTTTTCTTTTATTAAAATCATCGTATATTGGAGAGCTTTATATTTTATTGAAAGATAAGTTTAGTGTGATTTTATATTCATCACATTTTGTTTTGTTTTCTAATTTTGGGTCAAAGTATTAGAATACACTCAGCTATGAGGTGACGCTGGATTTCCCTTCTGTTGACTTGCAAGGACCTGAGCAAGCATCTGGTGCATGTATATCAGGGCACACCTGGTGACTGTGTCACTGCATAGTGAATGAGGGAAAGCCCATCGGTAGTGTTTTGTTGGGAAGATGAGAGTAAAACAGAACAAAAACAAACACCCCACCCTCTTTAGTGTCTTTCCTCCAAGTGAAATTCAATATGCCTGTTGAGCAACGCTAGAACAGGCAGGGTTGTTGAGCCACACTGGAACAGGCAGAGTTTAGATGAAGAACTCAGAGGCTTTAGGTGCAGTCCCGTTCTAACACACTTAGCAAGAGAAAGTGGCTTCCTCCCAACTCCAGTTTCATCTAGATGTGTACAGATAAGACATGGGTGTTTTATCTTCACTGTTGGCGGAGGGAAACGGACTAAGCCAAGTACTTCGTGTGTCCTGGGTAGTGCTCTAGGAAATGTACGGGTGTTTTCTTTTGTGCAGTCCTCATAAAACCCCTCTGAGATGGATCAGTATTGCCCTGTATCCAGATGAGCAAGCTGAGCTGTAATGAGGGTTAGGTAACGTCTCCAGTGTCACACTGGGCATGTTATTCTAAAGATTTCAGAGGTTGCTCTGTGATTAGAAAAAGATTTGATGAGTTGAGGATAAAATGTCGGATATGCATCCCTTCTCTCTCATTTCTTCTCATCACATAGAGCCAGGTTACTGAGGACTAACCCTGGACCCAGGTAGGGTAAAACCTCAGATGTGCACAGGCTTCACCCCCTCCTGGCCCCACACATCTGATTTGCTGAGGATTGAACCCCAGACCTGGCACGTGCTGGGCAAGTGCTTTGCCCCTGACTGAGCTGAGCCTCTAGCCCTCTTTACCCCCCTTTAAAAGAATAAAATGGAAAATTCCACCCATTTGACCAAGGCTTGAAGAGTGTCCTTCCCTTCCTCAGTAGGAGTGGCCAGTGGCATCTGAGCTTGGTTCTTGTCTTTGTTCCTGTGTATAGGGAGCTACATGCTGGCATAGGACAGACCCAGGCCCTAGCTCACACATCTGTTGGAACTATTAGAATTTGGTGGTTAGGAGGCTGTGTAACAATCAAGGTAAATGACTTGTGCCTTTCATTTTTGTGGTTTAAGTTCAGTGAGGATTATGGAGCTGGGAACTGGATGTCTGTGCCTAATACCGTGTTCCTTGGAGTCTGAGAGTGTAGATCATGACTCCATATGTTGAGGTTTCTGCTGGAAGCATTCCTCGGAACTCCAGACAGACTTTTGATGTACATATGTATGTGAGAAAAGTGATGAATGTTGAACACATCTGTGTTGCAGGGGAAGGAGCCTTTTACTTATTTGATATGTGTCTGCAGCAGCTGTTTGAAGTAAAAGTTTTCGAGGAAAAATATCATTCATGGTTTATAAATCAATCAGTTCAATCAGGTAAGTGACAGATATGTATATGTACGTGTGTGTGTGTGTGTGTAATTTTTTTCCTACCATTAACTAAACATACTCCACATCTCCTGTGGGTGTGTGGGTTCATCCTCCTGGTTTGGAGTGTGTAAGTGAGGAGCTTGCCTGTGTATCTGAAAGAGTTTGGATAAAGTGAAGCTAAGTCATGTTGTTGCATATTAAACAGACAATTCTGATTTATCTCCTAAGACACCAGCACATCCTCTGGCAGGTCTAGATGGCCTGTGTGCTGGAGAAGGCAGGTTGAATTGATTGGAAACATTTCCTTTGGAGGAATTTTTAACATATGATTTCCTTGAGCAAACTGATACAGTTTCTAAAGCATACTAGAATGTAACAACTTTTTAAAGAAGTGGTTTCTCATGTAACTTACTGTGCCCCTATTAGCCAGCTTACCTGTCACTGTCATATAATAAACACATACCCTAGACTGTCAACCCATTAGAAGACAAGATGTGCTGTGGTTCACCGTTTGGAGGTTTTAGTCCACAGCCCCTTGGACTGGTTGGTTTTGAGGTAACACGTCATGGTGGCACCATGTGACCAAATTATTCACTTCTTGGCAAAGAACCAAAGAGGGAGAGAGCAAGAAAGACCCATGTTCCCACCCCTCCAGGGGATCTGATGCCCTTTTGGTCTCTGTGGGTACCTGCATCCAAGTACCCACACAAATAAAGATTTTTTTTTGAAATGAAGCATAGTTTGTGTAGGTTGGAAGGTGGAGGACACTGTCCCCTTGCATTGTCGTAGCCGTGCCTGGTCCTTAGGCAGTGCATGAGCGCTCCAGCTTCCGGTGTGGCACACTTACAGCTGGTATTGGTTGATACCTGCAGCGCATCAGTCAGATGGAGACTGGAAAATGTAGGGAAGCAATGAGTGAGTCTGGCTCATAGACCACTCTTTCTCATAGACTTTTAAAGAACAATTTTGTTCTAAATGTATTCCTTAAAAGAAAGAGTAGTCATGACTACTAGGAGATTGTTATTCAGCCCAGGAATTTGGTCCTCATTCCTACAGATAATGGATGCATCGTGTAAAATGAGCTGAGAGCTTCTGATAGGTTGATTGCTGAACTTGTACTTTTCAGAGTAGTCAGACAGTGCCATAAAGTTGTCTCCTTAATTATTTGCTTACTACAAACACTGACACAATTTAGGCTAAAGTTTCTTAACATCTGTAGATAGGTTGCTCTGTTAGATATTAAAAGCAAGCACACGTCTTTCCTGAAACCAAAAGGAAAAAGTTGGATAGAGGCAAGAGAACTGCTTACAGTTTCCTTAGTGATCGCAGGTTTCCTGTTGCAAGAGTGCGGAGAGGAGGGCTTTGGGACTGAGAGAGGAAGGAGGCAGAACTCTGTTCGGAGGGCAGTTTTCACTTGGCTGGTCTCGGACTGCCGCTCACTCTGTCCCCTCAGGCGCATCATCTGGGGTGCTGGACTGCACCGGGAGCCTTCCTCATCATTTGCAGTTAGTAACCTCATGTCCCAAAAGAAGCTCTGCTCCAGAGCATGCTGGGCTTTCCCAGGATTCCACCCTCATGCACAGGAGGTAGTGGGATCTGTAGTTTTGCAGACTGGCTGACACGACTTCCTGAGCTCTCCAGCTCACAGTTCTCCATGTTTCCCCACACCTCTGCGCTCTCCAATGAGGCATATAGAAAATGATTCCATAGTTGAAATGAAAAGTCAGAGGTGGTTTCCATCATTTAGCTCTCTTCATCGGGGATTTGAAGCTGTTTGGAGTGAAAGCTCATGGTGTGGGTGCCTCTTGAGTCTAGACTGGAAAGGCAATCTGAGGGCAGTCAGACATGAGGAATGTAACGCCAGGAAATGGGAGCATTTAAACCAAGGTATTTCTCAACTCCTGAGATCGCCTGATGGAAAGCACAAGCTGTTGTAGGTGCTGCCAACTGGGCAGATGTCACAGCCACGTGCAAGAATGGGTGTGGCGTTTCACACACAGCTCACCCTGAGAGATGACATGACCAGGTGGCCCTTGGAAAGGCATACACCTCTTTTGTTCTTTTTCGTCTGCAGGGGGGCTTCTCCACTTTGCAACACCCATGGATCCTCTGTTTCTGCTCCTTCACTACCTCATAAAGGCTGGCAAAGAGGTGAGCTTCCCACTGGGGTGATTGCAGGGAGGGGCAGAAGACACCACTTCTCACAGTGTGCTTCAGTTATTAGCATATGTACCCCATGTGTACCAGCATGGGTCAGAGCACTCTGGCCTCCCCCAAGAAGCAGCACCTTAATGGTAATCAGCTTTGCTACTAGGTCGCTGTGAACTCAGTGCCAATCTGTACTCCATGGTAGCCATGACCAGCAGTGAAAACGTTTTACCACTGAGTGCTTAGATGGGAATGCTAAGAATTTGGCCAGGAGATTTGCCCTCTTAGGTGAATGTATGAGAAGTAGGTGAGCTGGAATGTGCCTAGTAAGAGCTAACGGGGTTGGAACTTGAGCGTCCAGATCAAAAGCATTAATTTCTCTCAGCACTTCATCTCTTGGGGCCTTCCCTGATGATGCCTGTGCCTTGAGGTATAACAGCAGTAACTGGATAAGCACACTTCCTCACACACAGTAGAGATAACTGCATTCACGATGGAGTTTAAGTAAAATTAATTGCTTTGATACTTGAGCAAGAATATTGTCTTTTGTTTGTTTCGTTGCTTTTTTGCTTTTGTTATTGTTGTTGTTTGTTTTTGTGCATGTGTGAGTGACTGCACGTATGTACAGTGTGTGCTTCTGGTACTCACGGAGGCCAGAAGAGAGCCTCCTAGCTCTGAGAACTGGAGCTATAGGCAACTGTTAGCTACCATGGAGGTGCTAGGGCCTGAACCTGGGTCCTCTGCAAGATTAGCAGATGTTCTTCATCTCTGAGCCTTCTCTCTAGCCCCACTAAGCAAGAATATCTTAGGTGAAACTGGCGATTTAAAAACTTCAAGAACACAGTGTGTCCTCCGGGGCTTTGGTGTCATGCCGTAACTCCAGCTAAGGAGCCCAGTTTTGCCCAATGTTATTTCAGTTACCAGCATCATGTCAACTCAATACAAGTGCAGGTAGTCTCGTAAAATTATTATGAATATAGAGCTTGGGGACCTCTTAAAGTGGAATTAGCAACACTCAATGGTCCATCAATCAACTTGAAAACCTTTGAGCTCACTACTTTAATGAGCATTGCCTTAACTGCTTAGGGCAATCTATATTTCTTGGACTCTCATATTTGCATATAAAGTAAATGATTACGGTTCATTTTGTTTAGTCTTTAAATCAAATTCTTGAAACTTTATTTTGTAGGTTGATTGATTTTAAGCTGTTGTAAATACTGAAAATCATAAAACTCACGCAGAGCGTTTATTCCTGCTTTCTGCTGGCACACTTTCTTCTCTCATTTTAGTGGAGTCCTGCCCCACAGCTGATTCACTTCACTCTTATCTGAAAGCTGCCCTAATAGCCAATATATTGGGTACACAGCAGTGAGGCTATTGAGCCTCATGTCTCTAAGTCATAGAGATGGTTCTGGCTATTGTCAGGAAGCTGTAGGAGGATTCGGGGATGGACTTGAAAACTTCAGGTGGGTCACAAGTGTGGCGTTTTCTAGGGTAAGTTAACAGGAAGAAAGGCACTTGGCACTCGCTTCAGTACACGGCACTGTTTCCCCATCTCCTGCTAAAAGTAAGACCCAGCTTTAGTACTCCTCAGCCTGGCCTTCTGTGTAGTAAATTCAAGGTGACAGATGCAGAGTGATGTTCACCAGAGCCACTGTGCTTTTCTTGTTAAGTCCTGGAAGTATAAACACATTGGTATCTAGTATTTCTTCCCTACATTTTTAATGGGGTCATATCTAATTTAGTTATTAAAATAGTGTCCCCATTTTTAGTTCGACCTGTTCTTTTTAAATCACAACTTTTAACACGACTCTTATTGACTATATTTAAAACAGATTTTTGTTTTACTTGTTTATGTACACGTAGCAAAGAAAGTAAGAATACAATAGTAATGATAAAACTTCTATGATGACTGTGGTATCATTCCTGTCAGTACTGTTTAAAGCAACCAAGTATAAAAATACTGGTTGATCATGGAAGACATGCCTTTAAAGTAGAAATCTAAAGACTGTAACACTGGGGAGCCTGGGTTAGGCGGAAGACCATTTCAGCCAGGCATTCCTTGCCTCTTTTAGCTGAATGGAAAAATATAACAAGTTATCACGTGTACTGTGAAAGAAGAGGACTCACCTTGAAAACCAGAGAAAATCGATCAGTCACACATCCGCATTTAGAAGTTTGGTCACAGAAACAGAGAAGCAGAGGTGGGACCTGCATCTGTTCCTAAGCCTGGCTCCCAAATCAGGAGAATGTCTTCATCAGATACGCTTTCCCTCTGCCATTAGAAAAGTTCAGAGAAACTACATCTGGGACCATCTGCATGGCTCACCCCTGACAGCTATGTCAGCTTGTCTATCTGGGCGTGTCTTAGCCTGCCTGTGTCTCTGTGCTTACATCATAGTTGCCTTTTTCTTTATTCCTGTCTAATTTGGAAGCCTCAGCTGATAGCTTCTGAAGAAATGGGTTCACTTTGGGAATTTTTCTTTTTAGAGTAGGGGCCTTTTTGGTTTGTTTGATTTTGTTTGTTTGTTTTTCTTCAGCCCTGGAGTGAAGACAGGGAAGCAGATAATACATTCTGGGTCTGGTCTGTCTAGGCATGTTCTAGGCGTGTGTGACAGTGGGGACTTCTGCTCTGTGACCTCAGCTGGCTCTTTTCCATATGGAATAGCTGGACCATCTTTTCAGTCCTGTCTGTTTTCCTGGGATCTTCTTTTCACGCAGCAGCTGTATCCTGGAGGGAGCTAGCTTGATGTTTGGAAGGCCCTTCTTACAAGAGGAGCTCAGGGTCGGCCCTTGAGCTATCCCAGTTTAGAAGCCCCTCAGTGGAAGGGGGAGCTCAGATGCTCATGTGAAGATTTACTGTGGAATGGTCCATTGTTTGCTCTTCTTTTGTGGAAAAGCTCACCGAGTGGACTGTTTGCCACCTGACTGACTCAGATATCCCTTTCAGGGAAAGTACCAGCCCTTGGATCAGGTGGTAGTGGACGACATGTTTCCAGATTGCGCCTTGTTGCTGAAATTTCCCGAGCTTGAGAAGGCGCTTCGGCATGTGACAGAGGAGAAAGGTATGGCACACAGGCCTTCAGAATCAGGCTGTGGTCATGTGGATCTGCGAGGTTTTCACCAGGGAGATTTGAGAAGTGTCGTATGTTCTGAAGAGGCCGAGATGTCACAGTCATCAAAATGGAAGCGCAAGGAGCCTGGGCTTGGGAGATGGAGCTAGAGGGAAGCAGCTGTCTTGAGGTAGAGCCACCCGGATCTGGTGATGCAGTGGTGCTCACTTGAAGGAGGGAGTCTAGTGACGCTGGGCTTGAGCCTCAACCTAGCCTAGAAGGCATGCACTCTGGCATCCAGGAGAGAGAATGTAGTCACAGAGGAGCAGGCTGGGGAGTGAAGAGCGTACTTGTAGATGGGAGTCACAGGTGTTTTGACAGGAGGAGATGAGTGATGTGCATGTTGGTGCATATAGTGACGGGCTTCATACAGACAGCTTCATTCAAGTGTATCGTGAACTTTGAGACTTCATGCAGTGTGTTGAACAAGAATGGCAGCACCGACACCCTTACCTCATTCCCACTTTTAGAGGGAAAACTGTGAAGTTTCCTCATTTAGTATTATGTTGCCTGTGTCTGTCATGCATGGCCTTTGCTGTGCTGAGATATATTCCTTCTCTAGAGTCTTACTTCTTCATAGAAAGATGTTGGACTTGTCAAAGGCCCTTTCTTCATCTATTGAGAGGGTCATGTGATTTCTGTTCTTGAGTCTATTTAGATGTTGTTATTAAACTTACTGATTTGCATATCTTTAACAAAGCTCCCATCTGGAATGAAGCTCACTTGGTCATGAATGACCTCTTTAATGTGCTGTTGAATTGAGTTCCCAAGTGTTTTATTGAGAATTGTTAGATCTGCGCTCATTACTGGTCTTATCCCTATTCAGTTTGACTATTGGGGTACTGACTTCATGAAATAAGGGTGGTTGTGTTCCTGCTCTCGGTCTTATGCAGTATTTTGAAGAACACTGATGCTGTTTCTTTAGCACTGCCTGAGAATCCAGCAGCTAGTCCTCTGGGTCTGGGTTTCAGCTGGGAGCCATTACTGCTTCGATTTCTTGCTTATAGATGTTTCTTATCTGTAGATTTGTTAAGTTGTTATATTCTCTTGGCTTAATTTTTGTAAGTCATATATATCTAAAAATTTAATCATTTCTTCAAGATTTTCCCATTTACTGGAATATAATTTTTCAAAGTGGTGATCTTTTGAATTTCACTGGTATATCTTGTCATGTATCTTTTTACCTCTATTTTGTTACTTTGGGTCTTTTTCTTTTAGTTTGGGCTTTGTCAATCTTACCTCTTCAGGTCAATTTTTATTTCTTTGATCCTTTATAGTCATTTCATTGTATTTAACTAATTTCTGCCCTGGTTTTATTCTTTCTTTCTGTCTAATGATTCAAAGTTTGGTTTGTTCTTTTTAAAACATGAGGTACGTCATTAAGTTATTTATTTGAGATCTGAGTGGTGTTTGTTTGTTTGTAATGTAAACATTTTTAGCTATACCCATTCCTCTACCAGCTTTTATTGGATCACACAGTTTCTAGTATATCATGTTTATATTTTCGTTTGTGAATGTGTTTTGTCAAGTTAGAAACACTATGCAAACTTGGTATCAGTACCTCAAAAACCACCCAAATAATTTCAGAGTTAAGGAAAAAGAAAGTGTGGGCACCAAAACATGCTGGTAATTTATGGTGGTTTAGGGTCACTGATGGTCTGGCAACTGTGACAGTTCTTCTGGAACCAAGAAAATGGTAACTCCAAGAAGCATAAGCTTTCAGTAGGGGAAGCATACCGGAGTAGAGGGGGATGGGGGAGCTAACTTACATTCAAGAGGTCTGCTAATTCTGATCTAATTCCTATCTGGCCACATTTGGGGGGATCCATTTTGGATCTGAGATACGGTATGCGGCACCAAGATTGTGCAGTGGCGGCGCATTCCTTTAATCCCAGCACTTGGGAGGCAGAGGCAGACAGATCTCTGAGTGTTTGAGACCAGCCTAGGCTACAAGAGCTAGTTCCAGGACAGCCTCCAAAGCCGCAGAGAAACCCTGTCTCGAAACCACCATCCCCCTCCCCCCCAAAAAAGAGTTATCTCAGTAAAGGTCCTTCCTGATGCGGTGTTTGGGATGGATAGCTATCTTTTTGTGGATGACATAGATGAAGTTGCCCATAACCATTTATGAATGCTAAAGTAATAAAGAATAATTACGAATCATTTTAAGTTTTCTCAGTTTACCATGAGTTGAAAATGCAGTTATGACAGCTTGACAGTTTTATGTGACTCAGGAGTTCTCCTAATTCTTTTTATTTAGGCATATTAAAATGTGTGTCAGTGCAAAAACTTGAGTGCAGATGCAGCCTCTCTTTTGATTTAAATGGCAAATACCCCCCAAATAGCCCAAAAGTAGAGTAAATCAATGGCTGTCTTAGATGGGTGAGAAATGTAGTCTCTAAACAGGACTGCACCACAGTCCTAAAGCGGGAGCTTCTGCAAACAGCAGCAGGCATACGTCTCTCAGAAACTGTTGAATACACTCTGTATCACCCATTTCTATGACGCTCTAGAACAGCAGTTCTCAGATTATGGGTCAAGACCCTCTGGGGGTCACCTATCAGGCATCCTGCATATCAGATATTTATAGTATGATTCATTAACAGTAGCAGATTTACAGTTATGAAGTAGCAACGGAAGAATTTTATGGTCACAACATATTAGGGTCACAGTGTCAGGAATGTTGGGAACCACTGTCCTAGAATAAAGCAGAAAGGAATCTGTCAGGTGCTCAGTGGCCACCTGAGGTGGGAAAGATAGGAGAACTGGGGAACTTTAGTGTGGGGGAGCATGTTTTAGTTTTGTCTGCCGTGGTTGTGATAAAATGCTCTGGGAAAGTACCTTGCAGGAGAAAGGGTTTATTTTGGTTGACAGTTTTGGGTTACAGTCCATCATAGCAGAGCAGCCAGAGTGGCAGGAGCTTGAGAGATGGTCACGTGGTCACGTTACATCCACAGTCAAGAGCAGAGCAGCAAATTCATGCCTGGGTACATGCTGGTCCTCACCTGGCTTTGTCTACTCTTACACAACTCAGGAGTGGTGCCATCCACGATGGACAGGCCTTCCCACCCTAATCAGTACAGTTGAGGGAATCCTTCAAGACACACCCACAAGATAACCTGAGCTAGGCAATCTCTTACTGTTGAGATTCCCTTCTTAGCTGGGTGTGATGACACACACCTTTAATCCCAGTACTCCAGAGGCAGAGGCAGGTGGATTTCTGTGAATTCAAGGCCAGCCTGGTCTACAGAGAGAGTTCTAAGATAGTCAGAGCTACACAGAGAAACCCTATCTCAGAAAAAAAAAAGATTCCTAAAATCATTTTCATCTGAGATTCATTCTAACCATCAAGGAGGAAGTATATGTAAAGAACTTGGTAGCTCCTTTGTGATCTTTTTTTTTCCGATTTTCTGTGTGGCAGACACAGTATTGTAATCTGTGTGTGTTACCCCCCCCCTTGTGCTCACAACAGTCCCTTAAGTTATCCCCTCCTTTATGTTGATGTCACATCCCAAGGCGACAACAGGACAGAAGCTGGGTGTTTGTAAACCCAGACAGGCAGCTCAGTCTAACTCCACCCAAGATGGGTAGGAGAGCCTACCTCAAGGGATTCTTCCAGGACATTTGGAAATCAGGGCAAAAGAAGTGAGCAGCAGAGGTGAATCTTTCAGGAGAGACTTGAGCACTGAGGTTTTTTCGGAAGTCTCTTAGGTGGTGAGTGAATTTCTAAACAGTGTGCCTTCACTGGGTGGCTGAATGCTCACAGGATCTGACTTGTGTGCAGGGTGAGAGATGGTCTTCAGAGGACTGCAGTCCGGTCTACAGCTTTGCACTACAGTGGGCCATGTGCCTAGGCAGTGCTGCCCTAGAAGGGCAAGAGTTCTTAGACACGTGACAGACAGAATGTCCTGCTTGTGCTTCCAGTAACACCCCCAGAGATGACAGTGTGGGAGATGCATAGAGACTGAGGGTCAGGATCATTTAATAGACTTTTAATAAACTACCCTGGAAAAGCAGTTTCCATTTCCCGAGGCCCAGAGGGAGAGGAGGAAGAGTCATTATGTGTGATTCCCGTGGAGTCTACTGGTCATAGGCTTTCCAGTGTTCATAAACATGAGTGCTGTAGGGCTATAGAAAGGGTCTGGGGGAGGAAGAAGAGAGCTCCATAAAGAAAATGTTACACTGGAGGTCCTGGTTTAATGACCCGGTGTGTAAAGCCAGGTGCATCATGGAACGAGGAGGTATCATTTACAAGAGTGGACTCTCATCCCTATCAGGAACCACGCTGAGGTCACCATGAATCTAAATCCTCCTGAACTAGCAATGAGTATATTGGTACTACTTCAAGAGACAGATACATCTGTGCTTTTGGGGTTCACTAATCCCACCAGGGGAGCATTGAGTAGATATTAAGATGCTTACCCCTGAATATATACAATGAATTTCCTAGCTGCCTGCTTTACTTTGATTCCCACCCCAAACCTTGGGATTTCTGTTTTTATTGAAAAAGGACATGTTTTAGTGAAAACACTGGAGTGAGTTCAGAAAAAATAAGATTGCTTAGCAAGTTGACTGTGTTTTAAAGAGTGTTTTCTTCTAAATTGCTTGTATGCGTTGAAGATTTCTTATAAGTCTACTCACTTGGTGGTTGACGTCTGAGGTACCCAAACTCTGCTTGGGATTTTATTTTTATTTACTATCTCATGTGTGTTCTCAGGTTTTTGTCTTCAGGTTTTGAATAGTACAAACCACTATGAAATGGCTTGAAGTATCTGATTTGCATTATAGGTTTATGACTATTGTTCGCTTGTTACACTGAGGTTCTTATTTTTCTCTTAATTCAATGCAGAAGTAAACAGCAAGAAGTACTACAAGTATAGCTCAGAGAAGACCCTGAAGTGGCTGCTGAAAAAGGTGTGTGGCCTTGCAGACTAGACAATAAGACCAGATCCGCGACCATCCTGAACATCCAGAAAAATACCTGTAGGGATCCCAGGTCCTGTCCCTGGCTGCTGGGAGCTCTTGTGGTTGGATGTTGCTCACTGAACTAGGGAGGGGCAGGCTAATTGTAGAGTCCTTTCTCTCCATCCTCGCAGCACCTCCCACCATGTTGTATGGGTCTCAGAAAGCCGTGTGTTGAGAGCTTCCAGTACTGAAGCCCTCTCTCTCATTTTCTGACTGCTGGTGTCTCAGTCACCAGAGACATGGCCAAGGCAGCTCTTATAAAAGAATTTATTTAATGGGGTCTTCTTACAGTTTCAGAGGTTTAGTCCAATACCCTCATAGCAGGGTGTATGATGCTGGAACAGCAGCTGATCTTAGGCAGAGAAAAGCAGAGACCGAACCTGGCCTGGGCCTCCTAATCCCTTCAAAGAGCTCCACTCCTTGGTGACTATGTGAGCCTATGAGGGTCATTCTTATTCAAAACACCACAACTGACAAAGATAGTTCTAGGATTTCATGTGAACCAGAAGCCATCTGGAAAGCTGTGGCATTACACAGTTAAGTTGAAAGTACATCCCTGTGTTTACCTTCTAGGTCAGCCAAACTGTGGCAGCATTGAAAGCCAATAATGTCAATGTCGGAGCTCGGGTACAGTCATCTGCATATTTCTCTGGTGATCAGGTTTCCAAGGACAAGGAAGGTAAGCAAAGGGTTGCCCCAGAATTAACCTGTGTCTGTTCTCCGAGGGTTTAAAGAGTAGAAGCTTCCTGTTGGCCCATGCGGGCAGGTGTTCCTTTGATCTCAGTTTTCAGCCTCAGGTGGTGCCAGTTACTAACAGTGGCTCGAATCGTTTGTTTAGTGAATAGTATTTTATACTAATGGTGATAGTGATTCGGAACAGTCTTGTTATCCGTTACCAAGTGTTTGTAATATGACAGGTATACCAGACATGTCACAAGAGGCAAGGCTGTGCCAAATTCCTAGCTAGCAAATAGTGAAGCCAGAGGAATGCCCACGGAGGTTCTCAGTGAGACTACATGACCTTTGGCCTTTGCCGTTGGCCTGACCATATCCTGCCTCAGGGCCCCAGGGGAGCTCGGTCTTTACAGTCTCAGTATCTCACCTCTCCTGAGAGAGCTCTCGGTGTTCCTAGTGAAATTAATTTACTTTGCAAAAAAAGTTTTTTGGTTTATATTTCCATCTTCTCTTCCCTTCTTCCTCCTATCCATTCTAAGAACTGAACCTACAGTCTTAAGCATGTTAGGCAGACTCTGCAACTAAAGGACATAAGGACATCCTCAACACATTGTAGTGTGGTTGGTGCTGAACGCCAGAAGTTTAAAATTAACAACCCCACATTCTGCTGAATTGGTTGTTCTTCGTGTGTGTGTGTGTGTGTGTGTGTGTGTGTGTGTGTGTGTGTGTGTGTGTGTGTATAAAATGCATTCTTACAAAGCAAGAGAGACAAGTCATGTAAGTAATTTTACATATTTTGTTTTATTTCCTTGAACAGAGCATACTCATTCCTGCTCAGTAATTAGCTTTCATCTTTATTGGAGCCGGCTTACAAAAATGTAGCCATAAAAAGAGATGCAGATAGTTCTTGCTGTTGTTACAACTGGTTTGTAATTTTATGTGTATTTGGGACTTGAACTAAAAAAGCCGGCCTGTGTCTTTGGTTTGGAAAGGGGTATTTAGGGCCATCCACTGTGTTGTGTCACCTATGGCAGCATCCCATATTACATTTCATCCATTGTATTTCTCTTTTACTGACAGGTAGGTCTTAATATCCCTGTTTTACCAATGCAAAATCTGAAAGTAGAGTTTAGGTGAGTTTCCAAAGCCACATACAACAAGAATTTGTAGCTGTAGCTGGTTGTGTTTTACACGTGAGGAACTGCCACCCAGCTCCCAAGTAAATACATGGAGACTTATTCTTACTTATGAATGCCGGGCCTTAGCTTGGCTTGTTTCTAGCCAGCTTTTCTAACTTACATTATCCTGTTCTCTTTAACTATGCTTTGCCTCTGGACTTTTGACCTTTCTTAGTCTATATAGCTTTCTTTCCTTTTTACTCTGTTGCTGGCTGTGTGGTTGGGTGGCTGACCCTGTTGTTTTCTCTTTTCTCACGCCTTTTATCCCCAGATTTCTCCTGTTTATTCTCTATACTTGCCAACCCCACCTATCCTTTCTCCTGCCTTGCTGTTGGCCATTCAGCTCTTTATTAGACCAGTCAAGACAGGCAAAGTAACACAGCTTCACAGAGTTAAACAAATGCAACAAAAAAGAATGCAACACATCTTTGTATCATTAAACAAATGATCTACAGCATAAAGGAATGTAACATTTTAAACTAATGTTCCACAACACACAACTACAATATTACTAATTTGTTTTCATTCCCTATTCTGTTTCTTTCAGAGGATTATGTTCACTATGCCCATGGTCTGATCTCTGATTACATCCCTAAAGAATTAAGTGATGACTTATCTAAGTCCTTGAAGTAAGTGTCATTCATCTCCACACTGATTCACAAGCTCCTTTGTGCTCGTTTCTGACAGTGGGTCCTAGATGGCATGGCATGTCAGGTTGTGATGAGATGTTATCCTTGGGCTGTGTCACACTGTGTGAACAGGAAGTGATTTTTTTTTAACAGCTGTTGGCTGTTTGCTATTTTTTTTTTATTGGCTAGCTCTGACTTAATTATTAACCCATAACTGCTAATCTGAGTATTTCCACATGGTCTTCAATTACTGGAGAATGGGTCCATACCTCTTACTCCTCTCCCGTCCTACATGGTGACTGACTGTGCCTCTGTTTCCCAGAATCCTCTACCTCTCCTAGTCCCACCTATCTTGCAGGAAGTGATTTTTAATGGACATTAAGCAGAATGATTTGATTTGGTGGAAACTGATTGTAGCAACTTAAGTTCAGGGTTAAAATTACAGCTTTGTGCAGTTTTAGGGGATAATGTGTGTTAAAATTTTATCCCTTATGGCAGTTAATTTGGTTCGTTGTGGTCATTTTAAGAGAGATTACGGTTATAGGATCTTCACCAAGTACCTTCATGGTGCCCAGTGCTCAGGTCACTGCAAAATGGTGGCCTTAGGGGAGTGGCCGGTCTTCAGGATGACGTGATTTGTAGACTTCCTTTATGAAGATCTTTAACATATTTTAAAGACTTTATTTTTCTTGTTAAATTTCAAGATATTAGTAGTTGATATTAAGGTTTTATGTGTGTGGTGATTTTATAGCTTTCTGATCCTGATTAAATCCTTTTTCTTCTTTATCGTGTAATAGGTGATAATATTGTTGCTACTTACAGCAAATTCCATAGGTCCTACTGTTCTAGTTTTCTTTCTGTTGTTGTGATAAAACACTAACTAAAACAACCTGGGGAAGGAAGGGGTTCTTTTGACCCACAAGTTACAGATCATCTTCAAGGGAAACTTGGGCAGGAACCTGGAGCAGAAACCATGGTAATAAGAGATCCAGCTTATTGGCTTGCTTATGTAGATTTCTTATACAGCCCACAGTGGGCAGGGCCCTCCCTCATCTATGAAGACATTACCTCACAGACAGACCACAGGCCAGCCAGTCTGTTCTAGGCAGTTCTTCAGTCGAGGTTCCCTCTTCCTGGGTGATTCCAGGTGTGTCAGTTTGACAGTAAAACTACCCACCACACCTGCTTCAAAAAAACGGTAGTGGAAGCTGGTTTTACTAGTTACAGTTGCAGAAAGCGTCTTTTCCTAAAACTGTAGTGGAAGCTGGTTTTACTAGTTACTGTTGTGGACAGCGTCTTTTCCTAACCGTTCCTCTGCTTGACGTTTCTCTGGATTCCCAAGCTGCTTGTCTTGATAGAGGCCTTTGTTTCTTTTGCATTATTTGTGCTGATTTTTTTTCCTTTACACTGAATTTTGGGTTAAATATTTTGGTTGGGAGATAGTGCAAACTAAACTACTCTTTGATAGAGAAACAATGACGTTCGTATGACTTTCCCGAACAGTTACAGTACTTTTCACTTTTAAAGAAAATGCTAGCATTGTCATTTATGAAGAAAAAAAGCTGCTCTTCTGCCAAAATGCAATCATGGAGGTGGAAGCAGAGTAACTCGCTGCAACGCAATGGGTTCAACTGTGTCTTAACTTAGACATTGCTAGTGTAAGGACATAGGAGGCAGGATTTCACTCATTCAGTAGAACCACCTGCTTCACTGAGGTGAGCAGGACAGTATGTGAAGGTCGGGTCCCTCCACCAAATAAGACTCACTAGACCTCTGTTGTGTGTCTTTGAGACTTGAGGCACACCATGACAATGATGCTTATTTTTAACTTCCTTAGGCTTCCAGACCCTCCATCTTCAATTCCAAACCCTCCATCGAAGGTAAGAAACCATGACCAAGATATCTTTAGGGACTTAGAAAACTATTGTGCTTTGAACCATGACTTCAGCCTTTTCTAATCTATTTTAAAGGGAAAAAAATCTATCTTGCATGACATGGTATAACTTGAACTCTGGATTGTGTGACTGTTATAGTTTGTAGACTTTTTTGTCCTGGATGGTGTAAACCAAGTTGAATTTAGCATACATTTCTGTTAACATATAGAGATCAGGGCTAGAGAGCTGACTCAACAACCATGAGTGCTTGCTCCTTCTGCAGAGAACCAGAGTTGGTTCCCAGTGCCCATGATAGGTGGCTTGCAACCACCTATAACAATCTCCAGGGCTCCAGGGGGTTCCATATCCTCTTTGGCCTCAATGAGCAATGCACATGCCTTTGTTCATGTGCACGCATGTTCATGTATGTGGTTGTGGGTGTACATTCACATATGCACACATGCCTGTGAAGGCCAGATGGCGAAGTCAGATGTTGTCTACACCTTGTCACAACTGTAGCCTGCCTCCCAGTTCTAGCCAAATCTTAGATCCTTATGTGCTACTCCAAGATGAGAACAGCACACACTTTGGTTGTCTAAAGCACTGGTTCTCAACCTTCCTAGTGCTGCATCACTTTAATCCGGTTCCTCATGTTGTAGTGACCCCCCAACCATATGATTATTTTGGTTATTACTTACTAACTGTAATTTTGCTACTGTTATGAATCATAATGTAAATGTCTGATATGCAGGATATCTGATATTTGACCCCTGTGAAAAGGTTATTCAATGCCCCCCCCAAGGGGTCATGACCTACAGGTTGAGAACTGCTGGTCTAGGGTGTCACCCAGAGACATTTTTCACTCCCATTAAAAAAAAAAAACAAACTACTAGACAGAGATCTACAAAAGTTCTCATTTTTAAAACAAGATTTTTAATTTTTAATTTTATATGTGAGTATTTAGTCTTCATGTGTGTAAGTGTAACACATATGCAGTGCTTGCAGAGTCCAGAGTTACAGATGAATATGAGCTGCCATTTGGGTGCTGGGTACAGAAGTCCTCTCCAAGAGCAACCAGTGCTCTTAAATATCTTTCCAGCTGGGTTTTCACCATTGATATCTTCTGGAATGAAGTATTTCTTCCTTTCCATTGTTGTTGTTTTCAGACAGGATTTCATTATAGCCCTGACTCTACCTCCCACCACACCTGATATTGCCTCCTTTATTTTTAAAGTATTTTAATTTTGGTTTTTCACTTATTTATCTTTGAGGCAACATCTCTATATACAGCTCAGGCTGGCCAGGACCTCACAGTCCTGCACCTGCAAAGCACAGGGATTACAGCCATGTCCTGCCTTATCTGTCTGCCAGCTACTTCACCTCACTGTACACTAACTGTTAAAGCACTAGCCTTTATTTTTGTATATGTATATATAATTTAATACGTGTGCCTAATTTAATATGTATACATAATTTTTTAGTCTTCAGGAACTTCATATACCTACATAGTGTGTCTTGATCATACCTAGTAATATATTTCTTTAGTTCATCCTTCTCCTTCTCCTTCTCCATTCCAGCCTTCTGGGTTGTTTTTTGTTTTTTTTGGTTTTTTTTTTTGATTTCCAAAATTTAAATAATTTGTGGTTTTGTCATTTTTTTATTTAGATCCAAGGTCAGCATTTTTTCTGTAAAGGGCAGACTGTGACCCTCATATTGTAGTGATTCCCCCAACCATGAAATTGTTTTCATTGCTACTTCATGATTGTAGTTTTACTAGTATTATAAATTGTAATGGAAATACATGTTTTCTGATGATTTTAAGTGACTCTTTTGCAAAGGTCTTTTGACTCCCAAAGGGGTTATGACCCACAGGTTGAGAACCACTGCTTTAGGACAAGACTGAAGCACACAGTATCTGTAACCTGAAGCAGGCAGCGCTCTGGGTTTCCTGAGCAGACAGGAAGTGATGAAACGGCTCAGCTCTAGTACTTAGTGAGAACAGAGAAGCCAGCCACCAGAGCACACATTAAGTCTGTGCTTCAGGAGAACACCTTTCTAAAGCCTGGCATTGGCTGGATTTGGCCTGTGAGCTTTAGTTTGCCAAAATGTTTAGATCTCAGCATCTCATGCTCCTCAGCCTGAGTATCTGCCCTAGACTGTTGCCTTGCACTCCTTCTCTGTGTGTCCTAGGGATTCTGGGGTTCAGAGGACACTGTACTGGAGGATATAATGTAGTTTAAACAGGGCAGGCTGAAGCTAGGTGTTAATCCCACTCTTAATTAACATCTTTAATCCCAGAACTCAGAAGCAGAGGCAGGTAGATCTTTGAGTTCAAGGTCAGCCTGATCTCCAGATAAGAGTTCCAGGACATCAAGGGCTACACAGAGAAATCCTGTCTTGAAAAACAAACAAACAAACAAAAATTTTAAATTATTTAAACAGCACAGGCTGTGTCTGCCTTTCTTATTTGTGCCTAGGAGTTGATTGTTTTTTTTTTAAAGACATGAGTGCTTGCTTTCAGGAGTCTGTGCATGTAGTTATAAAGAGTTGCATGGAACATCACATCTTTACTGTATTTGGTGTCTCCCACCCCACCCCATGGCCATGTGCCTGCCTTTGCTGAGGCCCAGCTTCCCACCCCGGTAGGTTTTGATTTGTGGCTGTTAACTTACAGAGCTGAATGCAGTTACTGAGCTTGGAGATGAGTGCTGAAGGCCAGGGACTGTTGGTCCAGGCTACCCTGCTTCTTAACTTCCTAGAACACACCTGCTTAGTCACATTCTTTTGTGTCTCCTTCTGACCTACTGAAGCAACTGCCCAGTCCATAATGATTCAGACTTTTAAATATCAAAATAACAGGAAATACCACATCCCCATATTTCCTAGTGTATATAGCAGAATTAGTCTAAAAACTAGTCACATGTGGAAGACGCTGCTTCCCTTCCTTCACTGCCCCCTCCAGTTTCCATCCTCTCCCTTCCCTTCCCCTCACCCGCCCCTTCTCCTCCCCCTCCACTTTCATCCTTCCCATCCCATCCTCTCCCTTCCCTTCCCCCTCCACTGCCCTCCTCCCTTCATTTTTCTTCCCTCCCATCCCTTCCTCTTCCTCTTCTTTGCCTGTTCTCCTTTAATAAACACTTTAACTGGTTTTCATGTGGGTGTGAGCTTTTAAAGCACCTTCCCTCTTCCCGAATAGTGAACTTTTGTACTGTGGTGGATGCCCTTGGCCTATGTACCAGCTATGAACAGTGGATTTCTTCATTTGACTTTTCAGTGAAGTGAGGCAGGTCCATGTGCTTTATAATGCTATCTCTCTGTGATACATTTAAAATTAATTTATTCTTTGGCAGTTTCTGCATATAGATGACACATTCTGCTGGCACATCCTCCACCCTTCTGGCCTCCCCCCACTGCTACAAATCCCCTTCCTTCCACCAATTCCCACCCCACTCTCAGGTCTTTTTATTTTGGTTTTGGTTTTACTTTGTGGCCCCCTGGGTTTAACCAGGGCCACCCATGTGGGCATGGGTGTGGAGCTGTCAGCTGGGCCCTGAGTAACTTAACAGTTGCTGTATCAACCAAAGACAATAACTTCCTTTCTCCTCAAAGTAGGGAGAGGACCCAGGAGTCCCTCTCCATCTGCGACTGAATGTCTCCTGGCTGTGTCTCGCCCATCCCCTTTGCAGGCAAGTGCAGCCATTGTGAGCTCATGCTCGTAAGACAGTGGTTCATGGCCTTCCTCAGTGGCCTAGTGCTTACACTGCCTGCCCTCTTTTCAGTGGTGTTCTCTGAGCCATCCAGGAACGTAGGTGGCCACTTAAGGCTGAGCACTCAGTAAGCCATTTGTTCTCATTGCCTTGACTCCGACTACTCCAAAGAGAAGCTTCTTTGGTCAAGGCTAAGGACAGTACTAATCTTGAGTCATCTCTGGCCTCTTCCCAACTTCTGCAGCTTCTGCTGCTTCTGCCGGGTCTCCAAACACCTGGGCACCCTACCCCGAGTCAGTGGAGAAATACCTGCCATAGAGAAGGGACACAAACATCTTTATGTCTTCATCTTCATATTACCGGCTATCCTCTCTGCTCTCCTGGCTGAAGGCCTGTCTAGTTCATCGGCCTCTCCATACCCTCCTGGATGGGAAGATGTATTCTTTTTTCATTTTATCTTTTGAGACAGAGTCTCATTCAGTATTTCAAGCTGGACTGCAACTCACTCTGTAGCCTAGGTTGACCTTGAACTCCTGGCAGTCCGCTTGCCTCTGCCCCTAAGTGCACCACCACACCTGGCACATTATTGTACAGTTCCTTTGCTCGAGATTGCTCTGTGGCCAAGAACACCTTCCTCCTTCTGTTTCTTATGGCAAGGAATTTCAGAAGTTCCCTGTCTTCTTTGTGTCCTGGGGGCTGTGAGCAACAGCTCTGCCAGCAAATGCAGGGTTTGAAGGAAGTAGGGATAAGGTTGCATTTCTCAAGGGCACTGCTGCTAGCATGTATGTATCTGGTATTTCCACGAAGAGCTTAAACCGTCTGTGCAAATCCAGGTGTGATCACCCTGCAGTCTGCCCTCCGCACAGCACAGGGCCATCCACTCAGCTCTGCTTTCTCTGAGAAGATTGGTGTGACTTCCTTTCCACTATGGTCACCTGACATTAAGACACAGCCCAGATCACAGAATTTTCACATGCATAGTATACATAGGCGTGAAGGGATCTTGTGAATGGTGAAAATATGTGAAGGTTTGACGTAGCTGCACTGGGCCTAATGAACACAGGATGTGTATGAAGACCGAGATTAACACACACATACACGTACACACACGTATAAAGGTCATTAAAAAAAGATCATTAAGCCGAGCGGTGGTGGCGCACGCCTTTAATCCCAGCACTCGGGAGGTAGAGCCAGGCGGATCTCTGTGAGTTCGAGGCTGGGCTGGACCGACAGCCTCCAAAACAATACAGAGAAACCCTATCTCGAAAAACCAAAAAAAAAAAAAAAGATCATTAAAAA